AATCATTAGTAAAAATGTGATCATTAGCCAAAAAAAAACGAACAACAACAAACAAATCATTAGTAAGAAAAACGACAGACTACAAAACCTAGAAAATTATAATGACACGAAGATTAAAAATATTATGAAAGCTAGCTATTAACATAAATCATATATTGAATGAACAAAATATATAATATCAAATTCTTCAATCCATCATGCGTCAAACTTGTAAAAGAAAACATAAGAACCAGAAACACATTAGTACGATTATGAAACAATTCAAAGAATTACAAAACCGAAAAGAGAAAATAAATGAGCAAACCTAAAACTCTAACAAAAAGGAAAAATATGATATGCAATGGGGGTACCAAAACTACATGTGTATATATATACACCACAAAATCTAGGGTTTTATCTTTCGAATAATTATGGAAAATTAACATTAAATTAGCCAACAATATAGATATGAACAAATCTTATACTATTTAATGATTTCCAAATATTTCTGTAAGATGATATCTTAATATATTAATATAATTATATATTTAAAATTGTGGCCCATATATCTAAATCTCATCAAATTAGCCAAACCCATTAATATTAAATAAAAAAATCGTGGCCCATTAATATTGTTTCATTAAGTTCACTGTGAAGTTGTCATCTAGGATCTGCGACTTCTTATTTATAAGTATAGATAGATATTGTAAGAAATAACTAACTTGGGGGTAACACCGACTTCTTTTTGGAATTCGTAAATTTGCCACTAGTGTTTATGTTTTCTTACCAAAATAGCCACAGCTTTTTGAAGATGGCTTTTTTTCGAACTTTATATGAGATCCTAACCTAACTTTTTAAAAGTTATAACTGTATATTATTTAGGAGTTAATGTCTGGGACATTTGTCCATTATATAGTCTATTCAATTTATCTGGTAATGACTATAAACTATTGCTAAAAATCTTCACAAAATTAAGATAAAATGTCATCTTCATAGTTTATATGGTTAGACCTAAAATGAAATATACCAATTTACTACATTTGACTTGATTTACAATCATATACTTCTAGATTAGATATAATGAGTATTGAACAAGAAAAAACAATAATTGAGCAATACTGTGAATATATGTGATTAATATTAAGGGAGTCAAAGAAGATATTAAGAAATGAATACCAAAAAATTATACTGTTGTAAAAATGGGTTTTGGTCTGATTCTTAACTTTTTGGTTTCTCTTTTAGTCTTTAGATTTCACAGAGGAACTGGGTAAACCAGAAAACAACTGTCCTATTCTAACACCATGAGACGGGATCCCGGAAACCGCTGCTTTTCGTTCTCTAAACGACGCCCAAGTGACCATATATAGACCTAAAATGATGAAGAATCCACCAACAACGCTGGGCAGAGGAAAAGAAATGAGTTAGAAAACTTTGAAATGGATCAAGAAGATGTCGAAAAGCATTAGGCCTCGAAGTGAAGAATGTGAAATGGAATTAAGAAGATTCTGGAAAATGTATTTAACCTTCCGAGATAAATAGGGCTTCCGAGGAAGATTCTCGATAGGAAAGCTGATGCTGCAGGCTGAAGAGGATTGTAGAGAGCAACCAAAGCAGGACCGATAATCTTATTGGACCAAGTCAAGAGTCCATAGTTAAGTGCAGAAGCGATAACTCCCTAAAGAGAAGATGAATTAGACGACCTGTGTAGATGATTATTGCGAGGAATATGTCAAAAAACTGTTTGTGCAACTTACCGCATATATAACTGCAAGAATCTCGGATTGTGTTAGCCTCCAATCTAATGGCTCTTTAACCATAAAGAAAGCTGTTGTGACCATTAGTAATGTACCGAAGAAGTATGCTAATGCAGCAACTGAAAGATTTGCCGGATACTTCTTCAAAAGTGGCGCCTGGAGAGTTTCGATTACATCCACATACATGCACAGAGGTTAGTAGCCTGTGCAATTTATAGGTTTGTCTAAACCTAACCAATAAAACCGAAACAACAGAGGGATTTACCTGAATGGCAAGAAACACAGCCATACCCATGCAGTTTCCGATCAAGCATAAAACTCCGATGTGCCATTGCTCAAACCCAAGATCGAGAAAACCAGTCAGTAACCACCCAGTAGGCTCAGGTTGACCTTTAGCGCTGATTTCATTGTTCATGGCAAAGTCTGCATCTTTATCTCCTAACAAGGCTGGACCTCGGAATAAAACCATATAGATTGCACCCAAAACACACACAAGTGTGCCTCCAACCTTAGCTTGACCTTCAATTCTCAACAAATTCACTCTTTCTGTACTGCATAGAAAGTAGGAGACATCAAAAAACCGAAAAGTGAAAGCATGTCTAAGAGGAGAAATTTAGAAAAAACCATACTCACCCCATCATTACAGCCAAAAGAAAGGTAAAGACCGGGATAGATGGTTGAATGGCAGCAGCGTAAGTTGGATTTGTGTATGTAAGACCAATAAGAAACAACAATTGGTTGCCAAATACCCTATCAAATATCGAGAATAACGAGGTGGCTTTACCGAGATGTTTAATCTGCATAAACATGAATACAGGACATGGAGAGCGGATAGAGATGATTTCTTTACCCGACTAAGCCCAGAAAGAAGAATGACAAAAGGAGGCTTCTATTCATTGGAGTTCTGATCCTTCTACATAAATGAAATGTTCACTGATTAGATATTGAAAACTTGAACATTCATCACAAACGATGCAAAGCTTGAGAGTGGTCTCGCTTAACCTTAACATGTTACAACCTCTCCCACACTATTCTTTCATTTTCTGATAACTATATTACAAAACTATAGACTTAGACAACCATAGATCGAGAAACCAGATCCTATTTCCAAAAGTACTCATCGCAAAACCCAAAGAAGAGACGTGGAACTCAGAGAACACGACCAAAACAGTATTAGAACCAAAAATTTATCAACTTTAAGTCTACCTACATTGCTGTAAATCTGAAATCTAGTTCTTCTATTATGAAGATCACATTGACTTCAAATAACCAGATTCAATTCATCAGAGAGAATCCCTAATTCAAACTCCAAAAATCCATACTAATCGATTGGTAAAACCAAAGGACTGTATTGGGTTCTCTGCATATAAACCCATGAATCTATCAAACCCATCTCGAGAACTGGAAGCTTGACTGAAACATCTAACAAAGGAGGAACAGAGAGTTGAAAAAGATGAAACCTTTCACGGAAGTAAGCGAGAGGTACGAGAATAGAGAGAGCGAGAAGATCACGGAAGACGCAGAAAACAAGCTGGTTGACTCCAACATTGAGAGCTACTTTTGTAATCACATGATATCCGCCATTAAAGAGCTGAACAAACGCCATAGCAGTGTGAGCCATTCGAGCGTCTCTCTCCGCCGATCCGCCTCCGATCGCCGCCGTCATCTTTCCGATTTACTCGGGCT